CCAAAGAATTATCATTATGCATCTCCCACACCAGCTTCCTTCAGCCTGTGATTGGAGTGGCACAATGAACATGGAGAATGGGTGTGGTTGTTCAATGCCCTTCCACTCTTGCGAACCTACCCAGGGGACAGTTGTGGCCTCTATCCACAGAGAAAGGTAGCAGTAAAGAGGGTGTAGGATCTGGACCCAAAAGAATCTGCCCAGTCACTGACTATCCCTGTGACCTGGGACTACCAGTCATCTAAAATCTCTGAGCTTCCCTTCTCTAAAGTAAAGGAGAGGGAGGGGGCAACTAGGTAGTGCAGTAGATAGAGCACTGGCCCTGGAGTCAGGAGGACAGTTGTGTGACCCTGGGCAAGTCACTTAACCTTGATTGTCTCAAAAAGCCAAAAAACACTCCCCCTTCCAAAAAAAACCCAAAAATAAAGTAGAGGAAGGGAAAATCCATTTATTAAGTGCCCACTGTGTGCCAGGCAGTGTGATAAGTGCTATACAAAAATCCTGAGAATGAGATTGAATTAGATTACCTCAAAGGTGTCCTCTTCTAGCTATAGACATAATGAGTAGAAGCCAAAAAATCTCTGAGATATAGAATTGTATAATTCTACAAGGTCCCCCAAATATGCTTCTTGGTTTTTCATATTTCACTGTTTCTCCTGGTTCCCTTGGTGGCTGATAGTAGCCCAAAAAACCTGAAAGAGGCACAGAATATAGAATTCATGGCAGTGCTAGAAATTGTAGAAGCCAGTAATTGTCCATGGATATTCAACTCACTCATTTTTACAGGTGAGGAAATTGAGTCCAAAAGAATCGAATCCGTGTTGGTGGTAGCTGCACATGACTGGAACCCAGCTCCCCTGCTTGATTACTCCTCCAGAGCTCTTTCCCCCTGTAACCACACACACCTGGAGTCCATCTTGAAGCCTCCTCTGACTATCTCGAGAATGGCATCCAGTGCGTTCCCTTGCTCACGGCGTGAGGTGGCCAGCTTAGTTAGGAAGGGTCTGAAAGAAATCAAAATCCAACCATAGCCCCTGAATGTTTGTTAACCCACACTGGTCAGTTCTTAGAGCCTCCCTGATACCTTGTTACTGTAATGAGAGAACATTGAGAAAGCTGACGGTTGTAATGTTGACTTGCTTGTGCCTTAGTAACATTTCTGCAGTAGTAATATTCTGCTTTTACTGCATGTGTAACTTTAAACTCTTTGGAGCTATCAGTTGTCTCTTGCCCTGCCTTCACTGAATTTACTGACTACCACAGGTCGTGTGTACCTATGAGGTTTGTTGGCCTCCTCTTTCCATTCTCTGTGATTTGAAGTTTTTATTTTTTGGGAAAGGAATCTGGGTCTGGACTTCCCTGTTTGCTAATGTTAGAGGGGAGAACTGAAAATTCAAAGTTAGTTGGGGGTACTGAGAATGTGTTATCAGGGCAGGGTGTGTGCCCAGGAGGTGTGGGTGGGGCCCTGCCTATCGAAATGGGGGAGGGGAGAGTTTGGGTTCTTTCATTGGTTGGGTTGTTCTGTTCTCCCACCCTGCTTCCAGGGACTGGGACATTCCTGACATTCCAGACAATCTCAATGCCTTTGCTTTCAGGATGTGGATTAACATCCCAAGAAGAGATTTGATTTCACCACTGCCCTACCTCCCTGTATCCACACCTCTCCATCTCTACCCACCCTGTCCCCCGATCTCTTAACCAACCTACCAGAAAAGAAAACCCCTAGAGAGAGTGGGGAGGGGAAGCAGCAAGCGAGCAAAAGGATCCCTGTGTGACCTTTGACATGTTTAGACAAAGGATAACAGTTTGTGAGGTTTTCTCCCTATTTAAATTTCTCGGGAAGCTGAAGAGCCCTGGGCCGTGGCTGGGGATAGAGTACTTCCGGCCCATAATGGGGCCAGGTACTGGGAGAAACAGTTGAGAGCTTGGAGAGAACCACTGTTATTTGGGCACCTAGATAAGCTAGGCTAGACTGCAGGAATGCTTTGGGGTTGGGGTAGGGGGAATCAGGATTTCTAGGTTCCAGTCCTGGCCCTATCTCCAGCTCTTTCATGTGATTATTGGATGAGTAGCTTTCTTTCTCTGGCCCTCAGTTTTCTTCTTGTGAAATGAGGTGATCAGATGTGTATAGTCAAAGGCACTTTTCTAGTGCATGCACAATTTAACTCAACTCAGTTCAGTTTATTTAAATGCCATTTTGTGCAGGATACAGTGTTTGGGTTATGGGATCATAAATTAAAAGATGGAAAGGACCTCAGGCCATTTTGGTCCTTATTTTGTGAAGCTTTCATTTTTCCTTCGTATGTCTCATTTTTCCTCCTGAATCTATCCTCTCTGTCAGGAAGTGGAATAGGATGCTTCTTCATAGATCCTCTGGAGTTGAGGTTGGTCAGAGTTGAGTCTTTCAACATTGTTTCTCTTTTACCCTATTATGTTATCATTTGTTCTCCTGGTTCTGCTTACTATGTTCTGCACCACTTCATATGAGCCTTACCCGTGATTTTCTGAAGTGATCCCTTCATGATAATATTCCATTACATTCATATACCACAATTTGTTGACAGAAAGAGTTGCTATGAATAATATTTGTACATAAGGGCCTTCCGGAGCCCCTTTCCCTCTTTCTCTCATCTCTGTCTCTAGGGTATTAATCTAGAAGTACTATAGCTGGGTCAAAGATTGTGCACTGTCTCCCTCATTTTCCAAATAAAGAAACTCCAGAAGGTTTGTATGGTGGTTACAGCTCCATTTCCTGTTAGCTGCTGGTGATTTATCCAGGCTTTGGGGCTCTTCTGGACATAAGAAACAAATTCCCTTAAGGAAATGCACTCTAGTTGTGGTGGGTGCTGTGCTTAGCCTCGGGAACACAATAATACAAGCCAGCTAGGTCCTCCTTACCCTCGATGAGTTACATTTTCTGGAGAAAGACATCATATAGAGAAGAGTGCTTTGGACTGCAGTGGTTGTCATAGAGAAAACTGATTGACACATCCTAGTAAGGAAATGATAGTAGTTTTGATTTGATGACTGTTGGAATTATTTCTCTTATTTTCCCCCCTAAGATAATAGTGTAGCTCCTCCATTATCTCAGCAGTGAGCTTTCCAGACTATTTTCCTTATCTTTCTCCTCTTTTTAATACCATTGGCATGGGGCTTGGTCTGGGGCTCAGGTCACTGGGTTGGTTCAGTTCTGTGGCCCTGGAAGGATTTTTCTCTGTGAGTCAAGAGGTTTGTCCAGCCTCATAGGATCGTAGATGAGAGCTTGAAGGGACTTTAGAAACCATTTTAGAGCAACCCCTCCATTTTATAGATGAGGAAACTGAGGCATAAGGAGGTTATATACAGGTAATAAACCAAGATGTAACCCCCAATTTTTAAACTTTAAATTCAGCCCATTTTCTGCTAGGGTATTCAAGGCCCATGTGATCTCGGCTCCTTGTGCATTAACAAAATTAACAAAATCCAGCCATAAGACAAGCATTTGTACCTGCTGCTGCTTTTTCCAACATCACTGAGTTCTGTTGCCGCCTCCCAGAGGGGGCTTCATCACTACCTTTCTTTGATAGAAGGCCAAAGTGACTCTGATCTTCTTTCCTTTCACTTCTAACAGGAGTTAGAGAAGATTGTCATGTTTGGAAATTAGGAGGGAGATGGTAAACGCCTTCAGCAAGGGAGGGATCTTTTGGCTCTTGGGTTATTAGACACTGTATAGTGCTAGCTGAATGAAAAGACATGGCTTCTGAGCTCTGGGTGTTCTTGGTAAAAAGATATAAAGAACCTAAAAAGACAGCTATGCAAATGTTTGGCCAGCTAAAGTAATTTGTGATATGTAAACCTGACTGCCAGTGCATTCATTGCACTGATTAGTGTAGACTTTACTTGCCCATGTCACCAAAAAAGTCAGCCTCTCTGGGCCTCAGTTTCCTTCCTTGTAAAATGAAGAGATTGTGCTAGATTAAACATCTACTATGAACGTGGTGGGGAGGGGAAGAAGAGTGGTGCAAAACAAAAAAAGAGTTTGCATTCTTTTGACATTTTGAATGTTGTCAGAGATAAGAGTATGGTGGGAATGGTGGGAAGTAGTATACTTACAGATGGCTACTGAGAGGCAGAAATGGGTGGGTGGGAGAAAAACCAGCCATAAACTCCCTTCTTATGGCTTAGCTGATTCCCTAAATCTGTAATACTACTATTGATAATCCAGTTTTAGAAAAGTAGAGGTTCTAAATGGGGCCCCTTTCTTCTACTCAGTTACTCAAACTCAAGCCTAATGTCCATAGCATTGAGATCTGTAAGACCATAGATTTGGAAGGGACCTCTTGCAGATAATCTAAGCACACCATTTTATGGATGGAAAAACTGAGGCCCGCAGTTTGTGACTTGGCCAGAGTTATACCATAATGATTTGCGCTTTGAACTTGGATACTCTGATTCCAAACTGAGTACTTTCTACCACTACACTATATTGCCACTATAAAAAATTGGTGGTAGTGACTTTGTTGGCCTTTGAGAAATAGCTGTGAGTAGGTTAGCCTTGAGAGATGGGGATTAAGGTTGTGTAGTGGTATCCATGGCATGTATGTGGTTATTGTGGTTATTAGAAATGGCAATGCCATAGCAGTAATTGGAAAGAACAAAAAGATGGAACTGAAAGATATAATTATAAAGACCAAGCTTGGCTGGCCTACAAAAAGAGTTGAAAATAGGCAACACCCCTCCCCGCCTCCCAGAAGTTGGGAGACTAGGGGATGAGGAATATTAAATATACCACTGGACATTTTCGATATGTTGGTTGGTCTGACTTTTTTTTTTTTGTTTACTTTTTACAGTTTGGTTCAACGATTCTCTCACTAAGTAGGGAGGAAAGGGGGAGATATTTTTCAAATGAAGCTGTCGTTGAAACAAAAGTCAAGAATTTTAATGGCAATGCCATGGGTTATCTTGGCATCTACATGATGGTCCAGGCGTGAGTGACTGATGACTTTCTCTTTCCATTTCAGGAGCCGCAAAATTCAGATCCGAAATATTCCACCCCAGCTTCGCTGGGAGGTAAGTGCCCTTGAAGGGGACCTTCCCTCAGGATGGGGAGGAGGAAAAGCAGCTGCTTTTCCTGGAGAGACAGATTCCTGGGAGGTTTATAGAAAGAAAGTACATGTCTTTCCAAGTCTGCAGATTGAATAAGGAGGAGGGAAGGTATTCCCAGCTGTTATTTCATGGGAGGTGAGGAGAGGGATGATAGGGAGGGAAAGTTTCTCATCATAGAACCTGGGTGGCTAGCACTAAGTTGAGACAGATTCTGAGCCCTTTCCCTACACCAGAGCTCATTCTTCATTATCATCATTGGCATGTATATAGCACCTACTGTCTGCCCCATACTATGCTAAGTACCTTACACATTTTATCCTCACAACAACCTTGGGAGATAGGTGCTATTATTATCCTCATTTTATAGTTGAGGAAATTAAGGAAAAAAGAGGTCAAATGACTTCCTCAGGGTCACACAGCTAGTAAGTGCCTGAGGTCAGGTCAGATTTGATCTAGGCTCTTTCTAACTCTAGGCCCAGCATTCTTTCCACTGTACCACCTCGCTTCTCATTAATCACCTGAGTCACCTCGTGGTGAGAAGGGGGTGCAAGTGACCTAGTGGGATTGTGGATTGAATGTCACCTGAAAGCACTGAAAGTGATAGAAAATTGGCCTAGGGAGTTAAACTCTCCAGACCTGGCTACCACCACCAGAGCGTATGTCTCATTAACATCAGTCTTGACTATAAAGTTAGCAGTTTTCTCTATTGCCTTGTACATCTCATTTGATAGTCCAGACTTGTTCATTCCTTGCTCATGTGTCCCAGGACTCCCTCTTGGCATTAAATCCTAGAATTTTAAAAATTGGAAGTAGCCTTAGAAATTATCTAGTTTGACCAATGCCTAACAGGTGAACTGCCTTGGTCTGAACATCCATTGTTGTGGGCAGAGGCCTATGCTAGCTTCTGGTGCAAATTCAGATGAAAGAAAGATGGTAGTTCCTACCTTCAGGCAGTTTCCAGTCACAAATTATGCCAGGGACACTGAAATAGGATGCATATACCAGACATATATGTGTTGCTCTTTTGCAAAAGTGTTTCCAGCTGGGATGAGTCATACAGACAAATATGGCCGGCAAGCTTTGTCAAATCATGTGTCTCCACATTTTTGGAGGCGATACAGGTCAGAAAACCACCAGCTTTCATCACAGCTTTGCTCTCTAAGGATTGAAACAAAAAGAGGAATGACTTCTTCCTAGCTGGTCTGGCCCATCACCTAGGCCAGTGGGTAGATTAGAATATCCAGATGTTTTTTCTTTTTTTTTTTTCTGTTCCTTCTTGCCCTCACTGTCAAAAGGTTATGGACTCTGAGGTGGCTGGTGGTGCTGTGGATAGAGCACTGGCCCTGGAGTCAGGAAGACCAGAATTCAAATCCAGCCTCAAAACAATTACTAGCTGTGTGACCCTGGGCAAGTCCCTTAAACTTCTGTTTGTCTCAGTATCTTCATCTGTAAAATGGGGATTAATAATAGCACCTACCTTGCCAGGGTTCTTGTGAGGATCAATAAAATAATAATTGTAAAGTGCTTAGAGCAGTGCCTGGCACATAGCAGGCAATATATAGATTATTGTTTTATCAGCAACATCATCATCATCATCATTATTATTATTCTAAATCCTCCCCTCCACCCCCACTTTAGTTCTTCAAGATGCCCTGAATATGTCTTAATGTCTTCTGGGAGAGGTCCCACCCCTAAGTGAAAGCAGGGGCTTTCAGAAGTGTAGACCCCCATAGAGAATGCAAGCATCTGGAGAGTAATTACTGTTTGGTTTTTGTCTTTGTATCTCTCTCCAGTGCCTGGCATAGTGCCCAGCACAAAGTAGGGCCTTAAGTGTTTGTTCAGTTAATTGAAATGGAGCTTGTGGAAGACTGGGATGGTGTGGGCCATGGACTTTTTTCTTTGCTTTTACAGGTGTTGGACAGCCTGCTGGCTCAGTATGGCACAGTAGAGAGCTGTGAGCAAGGTAAGAGGATGAGATGGAGAGGATGGCCATGGTGTTGATTTCTCAAGACTGAGAAATCAGCTAGTCCTTCGGTGCCCATGAGGATATCTATGTGGTTCATTGAAAGCATCCTTTCATGACTTCATGAAAACAAGAAAGGGCAGGGTAGCACAATGGCAAGAGGCTCAGACCGAGGGTCAAGTGACTTGGGAACTAGTTCTGGTCCAGCCATGAAATTCGCTGGGTGACCTTGGTGAAGGTCTTCTTTCTAGTCTTTGTTTTCCTGTACTGTAAAGTAAAGGAGTTAGATTAGAACAAGACTCCTGGCAATCTGAAGTCTGTGAACCTCCTCACAGAATAAGGCTTTTAAGTGCATAAAATAAAAATACATAAGATTTCAAAAGAAACAAATCATTTTGAAATAGAGTAAAATATTTTTTAAAAAATCCACTGAGCCCCCAGGTTCAGTTAACTCTAGACTGCATGGTCTCCAAACACATCTTTGGTTTCTATGAACAGTGTTCTGACTAACATTATGTGAATTTCAGTCATGTAAAGCAAAGAATGATGGGGCATTTATTTACTCTGATGCTATAAAACACTTCAGATCCTTAGCAGGCTGTGGCTACTTTGGTTCACCATACTTTCATAAAAAAACCAAAGAGATAGATCAAAACCTGGGGAGCTTTCCAGAGCCTGATGACCCAAATATGGAAAATAGGTGTAAAAAAAAAGTTTATGGGACTATTTACCCTGTAGAAGAAAAGACAGACTATCAGGTGATTTAATTGAAATATGGGCTAATATAGTATAATCAAATGTTTTCACATATATGAGGGATTATTAGACTGTAAACCCTGGGGCAGCTAGGTGGCACGGTGGCTAGAGGCCATGGATTCAGGAGTTCCTGAGTTCAAATCTGGCCTCAGACACTTGACACTTACTAGCTATGTGACCTTGGGCAAGTCACTTAACATGTAACCTTGAAAGTAAGGACTCTATCTTACTTGTTTATCTCCATTAAAACCTATTATGGAATTAAGTGTGTGTTTATGGGGGGAGGGGTGTCACAAAATCACGGAATTTGAAAGTTGCCAGTGAACTCAGTGGTCCTCTAGTTCTACCCACATGTGAAAAGTCTCCCCTCTATAACATAACTGATAAATGGTCTTCTAGCCTCTGCCCAAAGACTTCCCCCCCCCCCCAAAGAAGGGGACTTGCAAGGTTTTAGGACTTAAATTTTCTCCTCTATACCAGAAAGGGTTAGTCTCAGGGATCTTTGAACTTTTTTTTTCCAGTTCTGTGACCCTAAGTTAGATATTGTCAGAGACAGAGAGAGAAGATATTAGAGTGGGGACCTACTTCATAAGTGAGTCATGCAGTCTCTTGTCCTTAGAGATCTGATTGAAGAGAATAGGCAGTCATTCACCTGCCCATCATAGGTCATACATTCCACTTGCCTGAAAGCAGGGGTTGGACCAGATGCCATCTGGAGCTGTCTTCCTGCAACCAAGCCTTTATCATAAATACCAGGATGAAACTCACATCATAGTATAATCATGCTGCCCAACATTGTTCACAGCCTGTACTAACAAATCACTTTGGGCTTGACTAGACAAGCAGGGTTAAGCAGGTGACTTAAAGAGCCTGTAGTGAGTTTCACTAGTAGAGTTTGGGATTTCTAGCTGTAGGTAGCACTGGAGTTGATCTGCCTGTTCTTGTAGCTAAGAATGGATTATTTACATCTTAAAATACAATAAGAGTTTATTTTAAAATGTAAAAAGAACACTTAGCGCTAGGCTGTACAAAAACAGGCAGTAGGCTGGCTAAAGCCTATAGTTTGTGAGCCTTTGACTTGGATGCCTCCCAGGGATTCAGGCCTCTTTTTAATCAAACCAGCTTGGTCCTCCTATCTACATAGGTGGGGTCATTCAGTATTTCAGAATATGAGATAGAATAAGTTTTGAAGATTTGATGTCGAAGGATGGTATTCCATTCAGGGTTCTTTTTTTTTTTAATCAATATTCCCACACTTGATGGATACATCACTTAACCTGTCCTGGAATGGTGAAATAAGAAAGAAAACTTTAAAAAAGCAAACTGAGGGGTAAATTTGGACGTCTCTTGAAAATGGTGTGTTTGGTGGCAGTAACAGTTGTGACTTTGGCCAGTGAGCCACGCTTTGGGAGGCTTTTGTGATGTGAGCGCTCTCGAGCTCACACATGCTCTCTCTCTCTCTCTCTCTCTTTTTCTCAACAAAAACAATGGGATTTTTTAAGCCTTGGAAGGGGGTGGAGGTGGGAAAAAGGTGGCTCCTTAGCTCTAATTCTGGCTTGTGTTTTCTCCTCTAGTGAACACCGAGAGTGAGACTGCAGTGGTGAATGTTACCTATTCCAACCGGGAACAAACCAGGCAGTGAGTTAGCTGGGAGATGGACAGTGCTGTGGGAGGCTTGGAGGTTGGGGGCACACTGAAGAGAACCATATTGATTTTTGTATACTTTGTATCTCATTAGGTTGCTGTGAGGAAAGTGTTTTGGAAACCTTAAAGGGTTGTACAAATATGTATAATAGTGGTAATTTATTATTATCATCTGAACCACAAACCTCTCTTGAGAGTGACTCGAGTTTTCTTTCTTTTTTTTTAGTTTTAAGTAATATTTTATTTTCCCCCCAATTATATGTAAAAACAATTTTTAACATTTTTTAAAGTTTCGAGTTCCAAATTCTATCCCTTCTTCCCTCCTTTCCCCCCTTCCTGAGACTTAAGTAATCTAATATAGGTTACACATGTACAGTCATGTAAAACATTTCCATATTAGTCATTTTGTGCAAGAAAACTCAAACAAAAAGAAAAAAATTGAAAAATAGTATGCTTCAGCCCATTTTCAGATGACATCAGTTCTTTCTCTGAGGAGATTTGGGATTGTCTTGAATCGTATTATTAAGAATAGCTAAGTCATTCATAGTTCTTCTTACAATATTGCTGTTACTGTGTACAGTGTTCTCCTGGTTCTGCTCATTTCATTTTGTATCAATTCATGTAAGTCTTTCCATTTTTTCTGAAATCATCCTGCTTGTCATTTCTTGTAGCACAATAATACTCCATTACAATCACATACCATAATTTGTTCAGCCATTCCTCAACTGATGGGCGTCCCCTCAATTTCCAATTCTTTCCACCACAAAAAGAGCTGCTATAAATATTTTTGTATATATAGGTCCTTTCCCTTTTCCTTTTAAAAAAATCTCTTTGGGATACAGACCTAGTAGTGGTGTTGTTGAATCAAAGGGTATGCATAGCTTTATAGCCCTTTGTGCGTAGTTCCAAATTCCTCTCCACAATGGCTGGATCAGTTCACAACTCCACCAGCAGTGCATCAGTGTCCCAATTTTCCCACATCTCCTCCAACACTTAACATTTTCCTTTTTTGTCACGTTAGCCAATCTGATGGATGTGAGGTTGACCTGAGTTTTCCAGCTGACATAGAGGGAAAATAAGGGATGGAAACCCCTCATGTTTAATTGGTAGAAATCTATTGTAATATATCAGAGTGGCAGTGTTTCCAAGGCCGTATTGGAGCCTACTGAGAGGGAGCTGGTCTCTGGAGTTCAGCCTGGTTGCTAAAGAGTCCAACCCAAGGCTTGTTTGCTGGGTCAATGGCTCCATCTGTTGGTTGAAAGGAGGACCTGCCTCCTCTGCTTGGGAAAAGCGGGCATTCCCAGAGGTCACAGGCATTTTTATATAAGCAGAATTGTTCTTTCTTATAGGGGAGACAGCGATATCAGATCACTGTAGTGGGATCAGTGCCCTCACTGCAGGCATCTTCTCCAGGTCTTTGGCTTTTCTTTTCTTTTTTTGGTGGGTGAGGGGTTTTTTGGTGTTTTTTTTTTTTTAACTTTTAAATCACTGAAATTTAGAATCTCCAGCAATGGCTGTCCATTTTAAACCATATGTTAAGTTCAATTTCTTGTCTTCAGTAGTTCTACTATTTCTCTTTGCCATTTCCTTCTTTCTATGTCTCGATGGCTTTCTTGTTCACGTAAGAGCAAGATGGGTGTTCTCTCCCTTCCCTTTTCATGCCCTTGTTAAAAGACACATTGTGCAAAAACTTTTTTACCATGATTTCTATTCCTTTTTTTTTTTGGCTAGGCAGTGGGGTTAAGTGACTTGTCCAGGGTCACACAGCTAGTAAGTGTTACGTGTCTGAGGCCAGATTTGAACTCAGGTCCTCCTGAATCCAGGGCCGGTGCTCTATCCACTGTGCCACCTAGCTGCCCCTACCATGATTTCTAGCTAAACCAGTCTGCAGTGCCTTTGCCTTATCCTCTACAGCCACCAAATGCTACAAGCTATTCTTAATACTTTCATTCTGCTTGTCTTATCGTTTTTCCTACTTGGCTCTACCCTTCAAAGCTCATGGCCTCTAAGAAACCTTCCTTGGAAAATCCTGACTGATCAGCTCTTTTGCTCCCCGTCCTCCTTCAGCATGTATAAATAGTGCCCAACTATTCATTTGCACTGATTGTTAAAGACTGCTTAATTAGTGTCCCATCTCAGGTTGACCAGATAGTCTTCCTCTTTTACATTCCATATTTTTAGTACCTTGTCCCATTCTGGACTTTGCTAGGGAGGAATGTAGGAATTGTGTTTACTTGTGGCTTGTGTTTACTCTTGAGTAATTAATATGCCACTAATTAGACAACTGTTCTGGGCCCTAGTTGTCTCAGCTCTTGCTGAACACATAGTAATCATTTAATACATTTTTGTTGATTGAGTGAATGATTGGAGATGATCTCTTAGGTCTTTTCCGACTTTAAAATTCTTGGTGCTCTCTGAGCATAGCTGGACTCTGGTCAGGCCAATAATTGCTGTTAAAACAGAATTTTTTATGTTCTTCTGCCCCAAATCATAATAAGGTTTCATATGTAATTCTCAAAATTAAAATATGCCTTCCTTGTTGCAAACTAACAGGTCTGTCATGTCTCCCTCTGCATCAGAATGGGAATTAATTCCTTGAGGGAAGTGTGGACTCCTGAGGTTGAAGGCTTCCTAAGGGTAGTGATCATGTCTTTACCCTTAGATTGGGCAACTCCTAAGATTCTGAATCATATTTCTTTGTTATTAATTTTAGACTAAAAGGTTTCCAATTGTGGGATTGATTAGTACTTCCATGGCATTTCTCCAGTACCAAGTATAGTAAACAGATTAGCACATACACTCTCCATTTTATTTTGAGGTTGATGCATATATGAATAACTGTCTCTTCCCTGTACCCACAGAGCCATCATGAAGTTGAATGGCCACCAGCTGGAGAACCACTCATTGAAAGTCTCCTACATCCCTGATGAGCAGATGGCTCAGGGTCCTGAGAATGGTCGCCGGGGTGGCTTTAATTCCCGAGGTCAACCCCGCCAGGGCTCTCCTGTGGTGGCCGGTGCCCCCTCCAAACAACAGCCAGTGGATATTCCCCTGAGGCTCCTGGTGCCCACCCAGTATGTGGGTGCCATCATTGGAAAGGAAGGAGCCACCATCCGTAACATTACTAAACAGACCCAGTCTAAGTGAGTATATATGTGATTGAGGATTGGGATGTAGGGTATAGGAGGACTTTGAAAATCCTGCTCAGCGTTGGGGCTGGGGGAGAAGGTGAAAGGGGTGGATTTTATAGATCTGATTTCTCACTTCCAAGAAGCCAGTTCAGTGTCACTGATTTTTGTGTCTTCCCTTTCAGAGGGCTAGGGCTTCCCAATCCCGTTCCTCTCATTCTATAAACATCAGATGAGGAGGGATGAATTGGTCAGGAGTGGGGTGGTGGAGACAGGAAATTCCTGGGTGGAAATATCCAGTTACATGATTGCAGCCGATGTCAAGGAAGGTACCATCCTCTAAGACTTTACTAAACAGGACCCACAGTGTGTGAGAGTGGTTGGGTATTCTTTCATGCGATGAGAGGCTGGATTAGATTATTACTGACAAAGTCTCTTCCAATTTAATTTTGATACTAGGACTTTGACTTGTGTAGAACCAAGAAGCTGACTATCCTAGCTAAGGATTGGAGCCATTGATAGAGGGCAAAATAGTTCCCTTTGATACTCATTTTCATGCCAAATTTCTTTGTTTTACCCAGTACAATGGACTAAGGCTTATGCTATTTGTCCACCTATTGCTTTTCAAGTAATTTCCCTCCCCCTCCCCTGTCTTTTTTTGCTAGAGGTTGAGGTGGAAAGAAATAAGTGTCACACCCCTCCACTTAGGTTTGTCTGCATGTGAAACTTTCAATGTGGCCCCTAGGGCAGGAGTTCCTCTTAAACCTTTTTTTGTTTTATGTATGCCTTTGGCAGCCTGGGGCTACCTGTGAACCATGCTCTTCAGAACCATGTTTAAATCACAATTGAAGAAAATGATAAATTTCAGTAAATGAAAATGAAGATGTAATTGTTTTCCCCTTCTATGTTCATAGACTGGTTCTCCCCCCCCCCCTTAAGAATCTCTGTCTTAGGGCCATCAATGTGCCAGCCCTCATTAAAACAGTATCAATGAGACCAAAGGCTGCACCATGGAGTTCCTGGTGCCCTGCCTTTCTCCCTGTGCTGGCCACTTTGTATTTGGCTTTGTACCCATTTAGGGGCTGCGTTTCCTGGATCAGATATAAGAACCAGTAATCTGCTGGGAGGATATAATAATCTCTTACTTTCTCAACCATCAGAATTGATGTTCACCGAAAGGAGAATGCTGGAGCAGCTGAGAAGGCCATCAGCGTTCACTCTACTCCAGAAGGTTGCTCTTCTGCTTGCAAGATGATTCTGGAAATCATGCAGAAAGAAGCAAAAGATACTAAGACGTAAGGCTTAACTCTTGCTTTTCCCTTTCCCAGACCAATGCCCATTGACCCTGATTTGTGATGCAGATCATCTCTGTGCATCTCTGGGCTGTCATTTCTTACTGCTTAATATTCTAGCACATTTAATTTTTTCTTTTTGGTTGCCATCATGCAGTTAATTGAAAGATACCCCCTTTATTTCTGTCATTATGAGAGTAATGCTATGAGTATTGTGGTGTATGTTGTACCTTTTTTTTTTCTGTTTCTGATAGGGGTGAAGGTGGAGAGATAGTGGAGGAAGGCATTTGAAGGATATGAGATATGAAAAGAGGAAGATCTCATTGAATGACCTCCTTTTTTTTTTTAATTAAACATGAGACAAAGTTCTTAGCTGAGAGGGTGGTAAAAAGGGGAGCCATGAGAGGTTTGAGGAGGGATAAAAAGTTTTGAGAGAACCACTGTGGTGAGTGGAATAGGGAATCCATTAAAGAGAGTTAAAAAGATTGCCTTTCTGTAATGAGGGCCCTGCTGAGATTATGTAAGTAACATACTTGTAAGGGACCCAGGCAGCACATAGTTTATCCAGTAGAAGTGATGGGAGACAGAGGACCTGGGTTCAGATTCTACCTCTGACCCTTATCATACCTATACTGTATGAGCTCCCTCAGTCTCATTTTCCTCATGTAAAATCTAGGGGCTGGGTCCAAGTAGTCAGAATCGGGTTGAATGCATCTAGTTCCAGATCCATTATTGTTTGCCACCTTTGCCAATCACCATGTTTTCATGGAGTCATAGTTTACAGTTCCTCTTGAAGACTGTTCATATCTTTTGATGACTTGTCTTTTGGAGAATGAAATATTTGTGCCAACTCTCAGTATATTTTGGATATCAGACTGAACAGTTATTTCTCAGTGATGTCAATTTTTCCTTTCAGATTCTATCGTTGATTTTATTTGTGCAAAGCTTTTGGATTTTATGTAGCCAAAAGAGCTTATTTTTTCTTATGTTTTTTGCTATCCTTTTGTTTTCACCTGCCCTACATTCAACTTTATATCTCTACCAATGCCTTTATACAAAGTTGTTCAATTAAACAGACATTAAGTGTGTCCTTTATGGAAAATGCTATACATACCAAGAATGAAACAGTACTACACTCAAGAAATGTAATATTCTCAGACTCTTGCTAGTTGCACAACCCTGGGAAAGTCATGTAACTTTTCTGAGCCTCAGTTTCTTCTTTTATAAAATGGGAGTTGTAAGCAGCTAGCTGACAAGGTTGTTGAATCAAATGAGATGACATATGTAAGGCATTCTGCCAGTGTTAAATTGTTATATAAATGTGAGTTGTTAATATTCTAATTGAGGATAAAAAGAGATTGAGACATAGGGCTCCTGAAAGCTCTAAGGAGGGAGAAGATATGTGGTACCTGAGTTGAGCCTTGAAGATGTGAGCAAATGAATAATTTGGAGGTGATGACCTAGTTTCACTGTTGAGTTATGTGAAAGTCTTGTATTATTGGTGGAAAAAAATATGAGCAAGTATTGCTTTACTTTTCAATTTGTATCTCCAGCATTTTGTACGTTTTGTTGTTGTTTTAGTTGTTTCAGTTGTGTCTGACTCAATGACCCCTTTGGGGTTTTCTTGGCAAAGACATTAGAGTGGTTTGCCATTTCTTTCTCTAGCTCATTTTTTATGGATGAGGAAACTGAGGCAAACAGGATTAAGTGACTTGCCCAGGGTCACACATGCAGTAAGTGTATGAGATTAGATTTGAACTCAGGAAGATCAGTCTTCCTAACTCTAAGTCTATCCTAATCCTAACTTCCGAATTCCAACTCTATCCACTGCACCACCTAACTGCTCATAGTAAGGGCTTAAATGCCTTTTCATTTATCATTTGTTTTTTTTTCTCTCAAGAGCTGATGAAGTCCCTCTGAAGATCCTGGCCCACAATAATTTTGTGGGACGTCTCATTGGCAAAGAAGGACGAAACCTGAAAAAAGTGGAACAGGACACGGAGACCAAAATCACCATTTCTTCGTAAGACTTTCTCTTTCATTGCTCTTCCCCTAGGCGGAGAAGTAAAGTGCCGGGGTTGTATTACACCATCCCTGGGGATGTTGGAGTCAATAGTTTTCGTCCCTTGGACCTCAGTTGCCTCCCTCAGTTCTTTGTACACAACGTTCTGGTTAATAGATGGTACTTGTTCATTTTAGGGGGAGGGCTTGTTGTATTGGTCTATAGGATAGCTGCAGCGTTCCCAATGTTACTACTGTTTTGAGGGTTAGTTGTGGAACTTGGAAGCACGTTCTTTAAAGAGCAATCAGAATGTTGAAGAAGATAAACACTAAGCAACATGATAATTAGTCAAAAGAACAAGGGGATATTTAGATGTTTTAAAAGAGAGCTGAAAGGAACTAGAGATCACCTTCTAGGCCAATCTGTAGAGATGGAGAAATAGCCTTTAAGGTTAAATGATGTAAGTAGCAGACCTAGGATTCAGACCAGGGTTCTTTTGACTCTGGGCTTATTTCAGGTCAATCCCACATGAAGAAAGATTAAACTTGCTCTTCTTGGTTCCAGGGAGCTAAACTAAGAATGGGCAGAAGTGTCAGACATTCAGATTTAGACTCGATATTAGAAAAAGGTTCCTATGGAGATTTTTAGAAATGTCATAAGAGGCTTCAGAAGCTAATGAGAAGATTGCATCAACGAATGTCTTCAGGTAGAGGCTGGGACCAGTTTTTTTTGATGTTTGGAGGGAATTTTTGTTCTGAACTGGCTCAGGTAACCTCAGAAGCCCCTTCTAATGCTGAGATTTTGTCAAATGTCCTATAGTCGAGGAAAAAACATTTATAGAAGAAGGGGGGATAAACTAACTGATCTTTCTGATGCCTCCTAACTCTGGTGTTTCTTGAGTCTTCTTTCACTGCATTGGTCTTTCCATCCTCTACCATTTGAATTGGGAAAATCCCAGGCTAGGCACCCAAGACTAAGGGATTCTTGTCTCTACTTTGCCGCCATGTATTTATAAGAAACTCTTCTAACATATGCTCCGCTCGAATGGGAAGGGTATTCAGGTGGTGGTGGAGGGGAGAGCACTGGACCTGAATCTTTGCCTTTGAAAGTATCATGCTCTCTCTTCTCCTTCGCCTCTTCCACTCCTCTAGACCTTTATCTGTAGGTGAAGCACTTTGCCTTCCCTGTTCTTTTTCCAAAGAAGTAAGGAGCCCAGTCGATCCTTTGGGTGAAATTCTCCAGCCATAATGTGCTTTTTCTTCTATCCCAGTACAGCCAACACCAAGCAGGCTGAACCAGTAGTCCTAACCTTGGTATGGGGATTGGATAATCTTTGGTACTCCTTTAGCTTTCAAGACACCCATCTCAAGTATATCAATACAATTCTGGTTAATCTTGTGTTGTCCTTAACCTACTCTGGAAGTGCAGATAGGCTGGGCTGGTCCCTCCCATTATTCTAGATAAAGGAGACTGACTCTGAGATATAGAATAAGCATTCACCTTAAGAGTTATAATTCATAATATACTACCTTTTTAGTATTCAGGTCTCTAGACTTTCTATCTGGGACTTGGCACTAACCTATGGGGAAGGGCTTTTAAGGTCTTTTCTTTTCTCTGCTCCCCTCCTTAGGTTGCAGGACTTGACCCTTTACAACCCTGAGAGAACCATCACGGTTAAGGGCTGTATTGATAATTGCTGTAAAGCTGAGCAGGAGATTATGAAGAAAGTTCGTGAGGCCTATGAGAATGATGTAGCAGCCATGAGCGTGAGTATTTAGAGGAATAGAAGAACCTCCTGGGGGAACCTCCCCTTTTAGTTTTCTGACCATCTGTGAGTCTTGTGTGAAGGAGATTGAGAAGTCAGTTCTGTGGTAATAAATCTTTTCTAGCTTTCTAGGTCATTGGAAGCTGGGGGATGAGGTTGCATGTTGGTGACTTGAGAAAGCCCTTTCTGGGGAACATGAGAATGTTCCCAAACCTTGCTGCCTTCTCACCTTAAGGATGTGTTAAATGCAGTTTTGGAGCTTAGAAGAGAGATACCCTGTAAAGTGTGGTAATGGACCTCCCTGCAAGGCACTATGATATAGTGGGTAAAGGGTTAGTCTTAGAATTAGGAAGATCCAAGTTCAAGGCCTTCCACTGGACATATGTTGGGTATGTGACCACGGACAAATCTTAAGACTGCTCAAAGGAAACCACCCTCCCTACAAAAAGAAAAAAAGAAAAAGGGAAAAAATATTTAGTATTAGTGAATCTATCTACCTACCTGTGTGTGTGTGTACATACACACATATACACATATATGTACATGTACACACATATATGTGTGTGTATATGTTTGTGTGTGTGTGTGTGTATATAAAATACCCCAGAACCTTAGATTCCAAATTTGAAGTACTTAGAGAGTTAATATACTGAGGTTTAAAGAGGTAGTGTGATAGAGCGAATAGTATTGACCTTGAATCCAACTGGACCAGGACTCAAGTACCCTCTGATATAGACTAGCTGTAAGTTGCAGAATCTCCTGACCTGCCTGGTAGAAATAGCTTCCTCACCTGGGAGTTCTCAGTATTGATGAAATCACATACCCAGTTCCCATCTTTCCTCTCCCATCATTCCTCATTCACGCTCTTTCTGGTAAGTTTGCCCGTGGTTACAGCCCAGCACCCATGAAAACAGGTGTAATTGCCATATGGATCATTTGGCCTCACAGACAGGAAAATTCTGTTGCTGAGTCAGAGCCACCTCCCGGATAGGCAGCCATTAGTTACAAAGGAGTGGTAAAGCGGTAAGTGAATGTGCCTGGCCTCGTATTGCCCATGGAATTGTGTCCCATTGATGTTGTGTCAGGAGAAAATTCTTTGTGTGTGTGTGTGTGTGTGTGTGTGTGTGTGTGTGTGAGGTAGTCAGGGTTAAGTGACTTGCCCAGGGGCCAGGGGTCACACAGCTAGTAAGTGTGAGAAAATTCTTTAAAATTTTTCCAGAGTGATATAAGTGGGTAGAGTGTAGGTTTGTAGATCAAAGGGATCTTTGTCTAGTCTGACCCTACCCATTTTACAGATGAGGAAATAGAAGCCCAGAGAAGGTTATAGAAGACATAAACAGCAGAGCTGAGATTCGAATCTGCATTCCGCTTCAGTGGCTATGTTTATTTTTGTCTATGTGGTCTGGTTAGACTGTGGCTGTTTATAAAAGGAAAGGGTGTTTTAATTTTGAATGTGTAAGAAAAAATATCGGGGCAGTTAGGTGGCGCAGTGGATGGAGCACTGACCCTGAAGTCAGGAGGACCTGAGTTCAAATCTGGCCTCAGACCAAACACTTGACACTTACTAGCTGTGTGACCTTGGGCAAGTCACTTAACCCCAATTGCCTAAAAAAAATCATCTAGGCAGATTTATGAAAGTGCACATATCCTTCCTTATATGGTCCTTTCTGAAGTGCCATGAATACTGGTTATGGCTATACTGCCAGGCTCGTTGGGGTGTTGGGGAGAGAAGGACTGGCTAAGTCACATATCTTTTCACCACTCGGGGATGAGAAAGGACCTCCATAAATTGCATCTTTTTCAACATTTCTTCTTCAGCTACAATCTCATTTGATCCCTGGCCTCAACTTGGCTGCTGTGGGCCTCTTCCCGGCCTCATCCAGTGCTGTTCCTCCACCTCCAAGCAGTGTCTCAGGGGCTGCCCCCTATAGCTCCTTCATGGTAAGTAGAAAAATTATTTTCAAGGGACCCTCTGAGATGTTCATTTCCCAGCTTTCTCCTAAAGGGTTAAATCTTTCTTTATGGACACCTGATCCTGAGAATTCTTCTAAGTAGTGTTTGAGTAGAGTGGGCTAGCATTCTCCTGGAGCGGCAGTTTTTTTATATGCCTGCCTTGAGAGTCCGCTTACACCAGTATCCTCGGGTACTGAATCATATGTCATATGCCAGCCCAGGGTGTTCCCCTAGTTTGTTAGCAACCTAACATTTTCTGTAATCTTTCTCTATGCCTTCCTAATGCCAGTTGCATACCTACAGGTACTATCTCTGTCCTCTGGCCACACTGAGGGCATAAAGAAACTGTTGCCTCTGGGCTAGTCCAGCTAGTTACTAGGGAGGGTGGTATAGTCTCTTAGTTATATATGCCTTTCCCCTCCTGGGTTTAGTCACTGGGGATGACTTTAGAGCATTAGCAGGTCCTCTTGGTAATGTCTGTTGTCTTGGCAGCAGGCTCCAGAGCAGGAGATGGTCCAGGTATTCATCCCTGCCCAGGCAGTGGGTGCCATCATTGGCAAGAAGGGCCAGCACATTAAGCAGCTGTCAAGATTCGCCAGCGCCTCCATCAAGGTGATTTGCTCAATTTTTTCTGTTCTGGGGCAAGAGTTCATCCCATCCCATTCTAACCCTCCTCCAGGTGCTTCAAGGAAGTTTGCATCCAACTTGGAGAATTTCTATATGTCTGTACTCAGTCACTTCTCGAGGCAAATGGTGCCTCTTGCTTGTGCTCAAAGAACTGCCTTGGAAAAATTTTTCATGCTGTGCTTTGAGGGCCATGTTGGAGGAATGGGTTCCTTTGAAAAAGGAAAACCAGTGTGGTCAGAAACATTTAATAAATCATAGAATCAAAGTAGTTTGAAAAGACTCTCAAAGGGTCATCAAATCCCAATTAGTACCCTAAGGGGAATCACTACGATATATCTTTAACCTTTAAGGTTAAAGACCTCTCATTGCTTAATGGGGGGAGGGAAATCAGTGTTCACTTCATTCATACTTTTGCTTGTAGGCAAAACCATCCCCAACTAGCCCTTGGAAGCTTTGGGATGAGAATTCATCCCAGCTTGGGTAATCTTCCTTAAAGATTCAAAAGCTCATTGATGTAAGCTTTTCAACAGTTATGCTAGGAAGACTAGCCTTTGTCTCTCTCTATTATGGATTTGCTGATGGAAATAATAATTTGTGGGTTGGTAAAGTTGGAGTACTGTATGTTTGCCTCTTCCCCTTAGGAGGAGGAAGGAAGGCTATTTTTAGTTGTCTCTTTTTTAGTTGTCTCTTTGACTTGCCTGTTTGGGTTTCCAGATTGCTCCTCCAGAGACCCCGATTCCAAAGTTCGGATGGTCATCATCACTGGACCCCCAGAGGCTCAATTTAAGGTATTTCCAACTCATTGCTTTCTTGAGGATGAAATGAAGTCTAGGGTTGTTCAGGAGGCAGTCTATATTGCTACTTTTAGTTCTCAATTTATCTTGTCAAGTACTTGCCAAATTGTTAAAACTCCACCTACTACGCTCATCCCAGTAGGCCACAGGGCCACAGTTTGCTGTTTCTAAAATTTTTTTTATTGTTATCCTCAAAGTCACTTGTATTCTAATCTCCTTTTCTCTAATCTTTTACAGCTAGAATTAGGGATCTTTTCTTCCTTATCATTGGGTTTTAGTTCCCAGAGAAAGTCCCCAGCACTCTATTCCCTGCTTGGCTTCTAGGGAAAGTAGGAATTAGTCAACCCTTAAGTGTTAGAGCAGAAGAACAGGCTGGATTGAGAGAGCTAGGTAGCTTTCCAGGTCCTCTCAATTCAGGTCTTTGCTAAATTGTTATTTATTTTTTTGTTTGCTTTTTTTTCCTCCACTAAATTGTTTTGTGATTTGTTTTGAGGGGTCACTGTTATATTCCTGATTCATTCCCAGATGCAATAGGACTCATTCTTTGATTGCCTTTTCTCTTTTTCCTCTGTGGTAGCTTGGATCATAGAAAATTGTAGGGCATCCTACCAGGGTCTCTAGCCAACAGAGTAAGAATAAAGAGCAACAGATTTCCCAGCTCACCTTCCTCACTGTCTCACCTGTAATTTCTACTAAACCCATTGTAGTTGGGTAGGTGGTTACCCTGGCCTGGGAGGGGTTGCAGGGGTGGGGAGCCTGCAGCCTCGAGGCCACATGTGACCCTCTAAGTCCTCAAGTGCATCCCTTTGACGGAATCCCAACTCAGTTTGGGGCCACACTTGAGGGCCTAGAGGGCCACATGTGGCCTCGAGGTCACAAGTTCCCCACCCTGGTTAGAGAGACATAGAGATATAGGTATGGCTAACTTGTCCATTTGGTTTTTCCCTCTCCCACTTTTGCCTTAAGTATAAGAAACTCAGTGTTATAGACCCATCCTTTTTGTCCAAGGAGGACTTCTGCTTAACCCTCTCTTATCTCCTTAGGCTCAGGGAAGAATCTATGGAAAGCTCAAGGAAGAGAACTTCTTTGGTCCTAAGGAAGAGGTAAAACTGGAAACCCACATCCGGGTGCCTGCATCGGCAGCTGGCCGAGTCATTGGCAAAGGTGGCAAAACTGTGAGTCATGGAAGGTGGTGGGGAGAGGGAGGCAGGGCATATGGAGAGGTTTGGACCTCACCACCCAATCGAATGGCAAAGTGGAAAGAAAGGGGTCCTAGACTTGGACTCAGAGTACCTGAACTAAAATGTTGACTACTGGTGTGAGCCATTTAACTATGCCAAATGGGAAATGGGAAGTGGAGGGGGCTAAGGAGTAACTATATGGACTTGATCATCTCTGTTTTTAACATTCCACGATTCAGATACTGTGTTTTACTGAACAAACATCACAGCTCTCCCTTACTTAGCAACTCTGACCTTACTGCTCAGCCATTTGACTCTTTGATGAACCTATGGCTCAGCTCCCCACTAACTTCCCTTGGCCTCCTCTTTCCTCTTTTTCTTACCTTTTGACTCTGTTCCCTCTCCACTCTTCAGTCCTGATAGCACTTTGTCCTTGTCTATAGCGCTCTTATTCCACTAACTAACCTGCCCCTTCATTTTATCCAGGTCAATGAGCTGCAGAACTTGACTGCAGCTGAAGTGGTGGTGCCCAGAGATCAGACTCCTGATGAGAATGAGCAAGTCATTGTCAAGATCATTGGACACTTCTATGCTAGCCAGGTAGGACGTTTGGGAGGGATTCCTAGGATTTCCCAGGAAGAGAAGCTTCCTTTGGTTCCTAAGAACAATCAGAGACTCTTTTAGGAATATGGTTGAATCCATTCCTGTGCCTCTTGGTTGGGTTTCATCTTTCTTTTGGCCTGAAGAAGGTATCTGCTGATTCATGAAAACTTCTGAGGAAAGACAAAACTTTAAGTCCTTTACATTAATTGTATCTATACTATTGGGAACTCTTGGATTCTATCCTTACTCCTGCTCAATGAAGTTCTAACTCCTCTCCTCTCCTCTTCTTTAACCCTCAAATAAAATCCTACAATGTCAGTGCAGTGTAAGTTGGAGCTAGGTTGTGAAGGGCTTTCAATGCCAGAACAAAGGAGGCTATCTATTTATTTATTCACTTATTCATTCATTCATTCATTCATGCATCATGCATGCATGCTAGCCAATGGGGTTAAGTGACTTGCCCAGGGTCACACAGCTAGTAAGTGTTATATATCTGAGGCTGCATTTGAATTCACGTCCTCCTGAATCCAGGGTTGGTGCTTTATCCACTAAGAGCTGCCCCTGGAGTTTGGTTTTGATCTTAGAGGCAATAGGGAACCATTGGAGTTTCTTGAGTAGGTAAACTGACAGGGGCATGCTTGAGGAAAATCTTTTTGTCAGCTTCGAGGAGGGATAGGATCGAGAATAGAGACTTGAGGCTGAGGGGAAGCCAATTAAGAGGCTGTTGTGATCATTGTTTATGGTATTTGCTCTTAATAATTAATTCTAATAGGGCAGGTAGGTGGCACAGTGAATGGAGTACTGGTTTGGAGTCAGGAAGACCTGAGTTCAAATTCAGCTTCAGACTTTTGGTTTGTTGTCTATTGTCCATTCTCAAAGAGAACTAAAATGACATCACTATGTTGGGGTAAAGGTACAATGTGTCTGTCTGTGCCTGATCAGACCAATACGAACTCAGAACACTCTACCACAGGTTGGGCACAAATAGTCCGTATGTGTGTATCTCATGTATCTTTTGAGTTACTTCAGCTCTGCTTTGCTTGTAGACCGCAGTGTCTTCTTTGTGGATACACTATGCTTGGACCAGTGTCTCCTGTGTCTAATAATCAATTTCAAAGTTCTTCAGAGAGACCTTGAGAGTGTCCTTGTATTGCTTCTTCTGACCTACATGTGAGCTCTTGACTTGTGTGAATTCTCAGTAAAATAGTCTTTTGGGCAAATGTGCATTTAGTTTACTAGTGCAGACATTTGCTAGTTGTGTGAGCCTGAACAAGTCATTTAGCCCTACTTGCCTCAGTTTCTTCATCTGTAAAATGAGCTGGAGAAGGAAATGGCAAACCACTCCAGTATCTTTGCCAAGAAAACTCCAAATGGGGTTGTGAGGAGTTGGACACGACTGAAACAGCTTAACAACAGCAACTGCGAAATTAATTTCATAGCCCTTTCAAGTTTGGAAAGTGTTTCACATGTTTCTTCATTTGAACTCCATACTGACCCTGAGTGTTACCAGTAAAAAATGTCTGAGGCTAGATTTGAACTCAAGTCTTCCTGCCTCCAGGCTCACCCAGTGCTCTATCCATGGTGCCACCTAGCTGCCCACTACCAGCATTTAGGAGGATCAGAAAGACTTGTCATAGAGGATGAAATTTTAGCTTGCACTTGAAGGAAGCCAGGGAAGTCAGGAAGTAGAGGTGAGGAAAGAGTATTACAGGCATGGGGAGCAGTCAGTGAAAACGTTGGGATTTTTATAAGTTACAACAAAGAGGCCAGCGTTATTGGATTGCATGATACTTGGTGGGGGGAGTGAGATGTTAGGTGGAGTGGGGGAGGCTTGAGGCAGACAGACCAATCGAATGGCTGTGGGCAGCTAGGTAGCCCAGTGGGTAGAGCACCGGCCTTAGAGTCAGGAGGACTTGCATTCAAATGTGGCCTCAGACACATAACACTTACTAGCTGTGTGACCCTGGGCAAGTCACTTAACCCCAATTGCCTCCCCCCCCCAAAAAAAAAAGAAATAGCCTAGGTGTGAAGAGATGGGCGCCTACATAAATGTGGTAGTAGCTTCAGGAGAGAAGGGGCTGTGCATATATGAGATATGGTAACAAAAGTAAAGTACCTTGGCAACATATTGTATGGAGTGGGAGGTGGGGGGAGGATATGTGTGAAAGAGTGAGGAGCTGCATGATGGAAAATGCTATTCACGTCTAGAGAAAGAACTATGGTGTCTGAATCCAGATCAAAGCACACTCTTTTCCTCTCTTTTTTCCTTTCTCATGGTTTTTCTCTTTTGTTCTGATTCTTCTTTCACAACATGAATAATGTAGAAATATGTTTAATATGATTGTACATGGGGGCAGCTAGGTGATGCAGTGGATAGAGCACTGGCCCTGGATTCAGGAGGACCTGAGTTCAAATTTGGCCTCAGACACATAATACTTACTAGCTATGTGACCCTGGGCAAGTCACTTAACCCCATTGCCTAGCCAAACAAAATACACACACACACACACACACACACATACACACACACACACACACACACATACACATATGTATATGTGTATATATGCACATTTTTGTATATATATGTATGTGTATGTATATATATGTATATGTGTGTGTGTATATATGTATGTATATGTGATTGTACATGTATGGCTTATATCAGATTGCATGCTGTCTTGGGGAGGGAAGGGGAAAAGTTTAGAACTCAAAAGTGAATGTCAGAAACTAAGAATAAATTAAAAAAGAGAGAGAGAGAGAGAGTCCAAAATGACGTCTAGCCTGCAAGCCTTGATGACCGAGAGGCTGATGGTGCCCCCAGCAGTAAGGGAGAAATTCAGGGGAGAGTCCGGTAAGGAGTTCAATTTTGGATTTGTTGAGTTTAAAATGTCTACAAGACATCCACTTTGAGATGTCTCTTGTGAAGTTGGAGGTTAGGAGACAAGACAGGTCAAGGCTGGATAAACAGATCTGAGAATAATCATCGCGGAGATAAATGGCTGAATCTGTAGGTGCTGATGAGGTCACCAAGTGAAATAGTGTTAGTAGGAGAAGAGGGCCCAAGTCAGAGCTCTTGGAATCATCTTCCTTTAGTGGGCCTGATATGGATGAAGATATGCAGCAAAGCAGACCGAACAAAGATCAGAAGGAGGAGAACCTGAAGAGAGTAGTGTTAATGGAAACCTAGAGTGAAGAGGTTATCGAGGAGAGGAGGGTGATCTGGCCGTGTCAATAGATGAACTGATGGTGGTGTCATTTAACCCTAATGTTATCCCTCTGCCTCAAAGTTCCTTAAGCACTTGGTTCTATAAGATGAGTTTGTACCTAATCTGTGAACTCTGGAGGTTTGAAATACTAGCAAATGAGCTGATAGAGGGACTTGGAGACTGGGGATGTATTTTAGTGTCTATCGCCTTTTTCCAGCTGTGATTTTCTTCAGAAGCCTGTGTGTCTGGGGGTTTTGAGCTGCCCTGACTCCCCTCTAACACTGTCTAACTCATTCTCATTTTTTTCCCTGGACAGATGGCTCAGCGTAAGATCCGAGACATCCTTGCTCAGGTGAAGCAACAGCACCAGAAGGGACAGAGCAACCAGACTCAGGCACGGAGGAAATAATCTGCCTCCAACTCTATTGGCCCAGGACGAAAAAAGTAGAAGTTAAAAGAGAGTGGCAAGCTTAAGAATGAATGGGAATCAGGGATACTCAATCAAGTTATCAGATCAGATTTTCCTACTCCTTAAAACAAATGTTTTAGTAAGGAAGACCGATTATTCCAAAAGACCAAATCAATGGGCTCAACCCTATGGTCTGCCCTCTCTCTGGGCATTCCTCATCCAAATTATAGTTCAGGGTCAATTGCTTTTAAATGTGGATTATGCTTAAGCTCTTGTTCTCCTAGACTGGGGAAAGAAATATGAATGCCCCATGTTGAGAACCATAATGGGACCTCTTGGAAAGGTCAAGTTTTGTCTTTGAAAAGAATACCCCAAAACCCTCCCCCTCATTTGATGAAAGTATTCCTTACCTCATGCCTCAATGGACTGTATTTACTCATGGTGGTTTCACCTTTCTTGCAATGGGAAAATGGTAACTGTTGATGAATGTGGACCATAGCCATAGGTATTTCAATATTGCCCTAAAGGGGGAGCCCATTATCCTGGGGAATAGAGTGTAATAACCATTCTTATTCTTTAAATGCAATAGAAAGGGGAAAAGTTTGAATTACAATGATCCACATTTAAAAGAGTTCCTTGGGATTAATCTGAAGCAGATGACTCTGGGGGAGAAATTGACACGATTTCCTTAGACCTTATTAGGGTTTTCCCCCATGAAGCTCCCCACCTACCACATGGATCCACACATGTGGCACTGTGTCCATGGCAGGGGGCTGGCTGCCATCCCTGATTCCCATCACTCTCAGGCTGATTTTATATTTTTAAAAGTCTGTTTTAATAATTGGATGTGAGAACTGAGCAGCAGGTGACGATAGTTCCCCATTGGCAAAGCCTCAGCTCCATTGAGGACCTGGGTAATCCCATGGTGCTCCCCAGCCCTGGCCCTTGTGGCTGGGATGAGATGATATCAAGTCTCTCCTATGGTATCAGGGGAACAGACAAAGCTGTGGGGAGCATTGACTGGTCTTGGGAAAGCTCATGGAAAATGAGGAATTGAGTAGTCCCTCTTCAGTCCTCTCTGAGGACGGGACTTTGACCTCTATTTGCTGAGCTCCATAGAAATGTTAAGTCCATTAACTAGCAAGTGCTCCTCAACAATCAGCCCATCAGAAAGGGATGCTGCTGTTCCTATTTTCTCCTGATGGATTATTTGTGTAGCTGTAAGCTTGTGTCCTCCCTAGCTGCTGTTGGCCCCCCAAAAAAAGGTGCTAAAAAAAAGTTTAAAACCTAACACCCTTGGGAACCAAAGGGTTAAACAAAGATAAACTCACTTTCCCAGGTTTAACAGACATGGGTTTGGAAACACTGACAAGGCCAAAGGAAGGCAGTAGCTGACAGTTTCACTTAGATCCATCATTACATGGTGGTGGGAATAACCAGCGTAGGTACCATCTAATTAGCTGATTGTTGCTGGACACCAAGCCAGGTGATGAACTTTGTGACACCCTGGAAAATGCTGTCGCGTGTGTTGGGAAGAGAAGAAGGTCTGTGCATGGGTGGGAAAGCCACATGCATGAAGTTACCTTCCTTCCCACCTTGCAACAAAACCCAAGATGTGGGCGGAGTCAGGTGATGCTGTGTGTGATAGTAAAACTACCTCAAGGTATGAAGTTACCTCAGCAATTGTCCCCAACCACCCTTTTTTTCCTTTTTTTTGTTCCCTTTTTCCTTTTTTTTCTTTTTTTGGCTTGCTGATATTTTATATAAGAGAGAAAAACAAAAAAGCAAAAGAAGCTGATAGTCTTGAATATTTTATTTTTTTAATGAAAAAAAAAAGAAAGTTATGTTTCATAAATTTCTTATACATGAGCCAGTCACCAGATAGGAACTCTGTATGGAGAACAGGCCTAGTGGGAGAAAGACTGCTGGTGCCCTGAGGAACTTTCCTGGGGCAACGCTAGGGAAAATATTGAAGGTGGTGGGATTCAGCTGCTCCACCTCAAGTTAGACTTTCAGAGTCCAAAATTGTTTGCCCCAGCTGGAGAAGCCTTGCTGTGTGCTGTGGAAGGTCTCACAATGGCCCTCATCAAGATCAGGATATGTAGCAGCCAACCACTTTTGCCTCCCCAGCCTTCATTTTCCTTGGGCAAAGACCTTTCCAGCTGGTTTTCTCCCACTTGTGGCACTGTTGAAATATTTTGCAAATATTGCCTCTGTTTTATCGAGGAGAAAAAAAAAAATCAAAAGCGGAACAAACCAGCCCTCTAAAAATTCCCCCAGTCTATCTGTGTCCAAAATTTGGGAGCCAAGACTTTATGCACAGAAGAAAAACAAAACACAGGGTTGACCCATCTGCCCCAAAGAGAGGCCTACCTGGTTTTTCATTATAGTTGCACTGTCTTTGTTCTTTTTGACCCAATTCCATCTTTGCTGCTCCTCTCACTCTCAACCTGTAGGGACAAACAGATACCGTTGCCTGTTCCCTCACCTCTTTTTCTTTGGAATGGTTATGGAACCTGGCTTGGAGCATTTTTGGTCTTTAATTGGTGACAGTGGTGGCAGCTTTTGAGATGTAGCCATTACTGAGGGACAGTTTTTCCATCAGCTGTCACAAGTTTGGTCTTTGCCCCACTCTATCAGGCTCCTTTCCAAGCTCCCACATCCATCTCTTCCTAAGAGATGAAGCAAACAGCATTTTGAGACAGAATAAGGCCAGTGTAATTTCGCTCCCTGCCCATCCTAATAGCAAAAAAGGGTCTCCCAATTTCTTTCAACCTCTGGCTCTACATACTTCATCCTAATTGAAGCAGAAAACAGTTTATTCAGACATCGGCAGTTGATGATTTAAAACCAATTTCCAGCAGCAAGCATGTTTTGATACCTGGTTCAGACTGTTTTATCAGAGAAAAAAATACCCCACAGTATATCTGACATCTTATTGTTGCAGCGTTCATTTTCCTTGGAATCCTATTCCCCTCACCTCCTCACCTCTCTCTTCCTTTTTGCCAATCTTGGTGTGCTGGGGAGAGCAGAGTGGGGACTTTGACTGTAATACACTACTCACTTGGACTGAGTGAGACATACATTCATAGGTAGCCTTAGTTTGCCTAGCAGGGAAATGAGGGGCGGGTGAAACTTCTGGGGAATACAGACTTTTGGTTATAAGCAGAAGGTTTGCAGAGGGATCAGAGACTCTACCTTGGGTGGGGTCTTCTTGTTCCCACTGGCTAACTGTAATTAGGGCAATTCTTTCGCCCACTCCCCACACATGGTGCCTTCACTTCCCTGTTGGTGAAGAGAGAAACAAACTGGCTAAAAGCACTTGGGAGATTTGGATGAAATGACTTGATAAAGGTGACTGTTTTAAAAGCCACTTCTGTGCTGAGATAGATACATATGTATTCTATATATTTTTAAGAAAGGACCATCTCTTCTCTTAGGATATTGTTTTTAATTCTTTGAATCCCATTGAAAAACAGAATGGTTTGATCCGCTGACTTACTTTGAAGCTGCATCTGCCAATCCCATCCTTTGCCATTTCTCACAAATCCCATCCATAGACCTATTCCCAAGGGCTTCAGCCCTAAAGGTCTAAGGCTGGGTTTTTTTTTGGCTTGTGTAACTCGACCCCTGTAAAATACTCAGGAGCAGATAGCTCATCCTACCACCCCACAACTTCCTTACCCCAATTATAAAAAAATTAATCTTAGTACTTCCCCGTCTCTGAACTCTTCACGTATCAGGGAAATAGGGGCTTTTTTTTTTTGTTCCACTACCAAGCAGAACTGATTCTGTGTGGCCATTTTCCTCTGTGCCAAAGACTGACAGAGAGAGTGACCATTTCCAGAAGAAAGCAGTAACTGTTCTCCCGACCTATTTTGGCATGAGTGTTGGAGAAGGGGTCTGGAAGAAGTTGGTCTGAGAAGGAGGAATGCTGACAGATGAGGCAAAAGTTTTATCATAGGCTCTGTTCTATGGGGGAGATCTAGAAGTGGCTTTTGCCAAGGGTAGAGAGTTCAAAAGGGGGCCTGTCTTAATGGGATCCCCCCCAAGGCCATTTGGCTCCTGGTTGCACTTTTGGGAATGACAGGGAGTTGAGGCTCTGAAGATCTGAGCACCTCCTGCCCAACAGCTTTTCTTCTTGCCTCACTGTTCACTGCAAAGGAAAGTGGAGGCAGTGTTGGTTAAGGGAAGAAGCGGAGTCTTGTGGGGCAAAACAAAACTCAAGCACCCGATACCTGGTCCGATTCCCTACTCTTTCATGAACTTCTTTCTCCTCTCCCCCCCCCCCTTCTCACACGACATAGCCCTCTGCCAAATGGGGGAACAGAAATGCTACTTAACTACCTCACTGAACTGATGGAAGAGTTGGTGGGGAGAATGTGAGAGAAGAGCCCAGAGCTCTCCCCCAATGTTGTTAGGGATTAGTAACAGCATCTCCAACTTCTACCTGTCTTTCCGCTCTCATAAAGGCAGGATGACTCCTCACTTTCTTCCCCTCCATCTCCAGTGTTTTTCTGAGCTTTCTGACTCCCTTCCCCTTTTGCTCAGTTCACTCGAGTAAATATTCAAACAGATGACAGTTTGGTGTATTCCTAAGGAAGCAGTCAGGGGTCAGGAAGCCTTTTTACCCAACTAGGCACCAATAATAAAAAGGTAGCAGAATGATCCCTCTGTTACTAGGGGACAGACTCAAGCCATTTCCCTCCCAGATACATCCATCCTTTAGATGCAGAATAATTATCCTAAACACAGACTAGGAGTGACACCAGTTGAAGACTTCAGTTTCTTTCCTTCAGATACATAAGGCTTCTCATTCGGGTGCCCAAGAACAGGAAGGAGGCCTCAAGACTGAAGATGGATTTGGAAGGGTGAGGGGAGTTTTGGAAAGGATGATGGCAAGAAACCAGATCCTTATTCCATGCCTCCCCATCTCTCCTCTGGCTCTTATTTAGCACCATCCCTGGGGCAAGATTTATTGGCAGCACCATCCTCTAGGGCTGCCATGGGAGTGTTGTTCCCAGATGGATGAGACAAAGAAAAGAAACAAGACAGAATGTTTTTTTCTTAAAGGAATAAGCAGGAAGCTCCTTATGAGCATGTAACCACAGGTGAGACTAGGAGTAAAAATGGACTAACTACCTCAATCCTTACAATAAGATTGGAAGGAAGAGCAGGGACTACGGATGAACGGGTGAAAGGATCCACCCTCCCAGCTGCCTGGAGAACACCAGTTGAGGCCCCAGCTCCATTTGGTAACTTTGTAGGGTAGGAGTGGGGATTGGTAGGGCCACTAGCAGCCCCAACTCACACCTGACACATCTGGAGGCTGGACGAAGGGCACCACCACAACCATCACCACCACCAACCACCTTCCTTGCTCTAGAGCCCCACCTTGTTCTCACCTCCACTTCTTCAACCTGTCTCCCATTTTGCTTTAAAAGAGGGACGGGCAGAGGGAGAAGCTTTGGTGGGGCTGAGATTGGGGCTTGACCTCTCACCTACCATTCACTCAGCCCAAAAGGTGGAAAGGGGAGAGAGATTTCTTTGAAACTCCCTCAACCCCCCTGCCCTCAAATAACCCCTTTCCTGGGGGATCATTTTGCTTTGTGGGGAGAGGAGGTGGTGCAGGAACCCCCACCTGGGAGCTGAAGGGAACCCCTCCCCCTATCAGGCTCTCCTTGTCCCGAGGGAACTCCCTTTGGACAAATTCCCCTTCCCCCCACACCCTCCAGTGGCCCTCCTAGAAAACCCATTTTGATTTAAAAAAAAATCTACCTCTTAGCAAAACAATAGAAAAATTAGATAGTGGCAATTCCACAGACTGTAGGTTGGGGTGGGGGGAGGGATGGGGGAAAGATTTGTTTTTTCCAAAGAGAAAAAAAATATTACCTTAAAAATACTTTCCAAAAATATAAAAACCAAAAAAAAAAAGAGACATTTTCCAATATCCAATAGCCTGTCTACATTCCCCCAGTGATTTTTTTTCCCCTCCCTTAAATGCATTTCAATCTTCTGCAACTTTCCCCCCATGACCTCCCACTCTGAAGATATTCGATTTCCTTCTGGGTACAGCATTCCCCAACTATCCACAGTGGATCCCACCCTGTCCTATTGGTGAGCCTCACTTGGGCTCTTTCACTTCCCTCTCCCCAACATACCTGAGAATCAGGTCACCCCACAAAAGCCATTGCTTTGGAGGGCTCCACGCCTTACCCACCATTGCGCCTGTAAGGGGGGGAGGAACTTTTTTTAATGTAATATTTTTTGTGTAGTAAAACTTTTCTTCGCAACTTCATGTGTAGCAATGTAAACTAACTCTGGCAGGTAATACCTAAAAGAAATGCCTGAATCCCCCACTGGATTCTTCCACTTCATTTATGAAAAAATACACAATTCCTACAACCACCACTGATAACATCCTGGCCTTGGCAAAGATAACGCAGGCCATGAACCATCCCTTCCTGCCCCTACCCTCATGAATGCTCCATGTCATTGCTCCCTCCTCATTGGAGAAAAGGATTTTTAAGAAAGGGGTTGGGGGTGGAGTGGGGCTTGTAGTTTTGAATGTGTCTCAACTTAAGTGCTACCCTCTTTCTATGTGATTGTATTGCCTTGGGAAGTTGTACTTGACTGTAAATGACCTTTCTTTCTGATTGTACCCTCCCTGATCCCTCTGCTTTAACCCTGTCCTTTACTCTGTCCTCTGGGGAGGCGGGGCAGCTGGTTCAGACTTTTGGAGTTTGTTCTTTTGATTTATGTGGGCTCCAGT